GGTGCTAAGTGAAGTTTGCTTTGATGATCCAGTCAGGATCCCAAATGGGGAGAGGGGGGAGCCTCTCCAGACGGAGATGTTTGCAGCCCCCACCCCATTCCCTGATCCCAAGAGGTCCCCCCTCCCTCCCTCCCCCCCCCCCCCCAGAATTAAAAATAACTCCAAGGACTCCACCTTTCTTTCTTTTTTTAATTTTTTAAGATTAAATTTATACCCCCCCCCATCTCGCAAACGAGCAACTCTGAGCACCATATCAAATAAATAGATAAAGAGGGAGGGGGAGAGAGAGGGGGAGAGATGATAGAGATAGATAGATAGATAGATAGATAGATAGATAGATAGATAGATGGATGAAAGATAGATGATAGATAGATAGATAGATAGATATAAATAGATACATTTATATATATATATAAACATTTATATATATGTGTGTGTGTGTGTGTTTGTATATATCTTAAGTTTTCGCGGGTACTTACATGTATGGTATTCAGCTTTGTTCGGGTATTTTCCCACGTCATTATAGTTGTGCTTTTAAAGTTGTAGCAACGTTTCAACAGTAAACGTCTGACTCACAGACGAACACAATACAGAAGCCTCTCCCCTCCTCCTCCCTTTAGCATTTTGGGCTTCTCAGCTTTGGTCTCACCAACAGATGGTCCTTGAACCTACAACGGTCCATTCAGCGACTGTTTCAAAGTTACTACGGCACTGAAAAAAGAGACTTATGACCATTTTTTCCCCACCCTTACGACGGTCGCAGCCTCCCCAATGGTCACCTGATTGAAATCCAGACGCTTGGTGAACAGACTCACAATTATGACGATTGCAGTGCCCAGGGTCACGTGACCAATTTTGGCCACCTTCGGATGCAGCAAAGTCCATGGGGAAGCCAGCTTCACTTAATGACCATGTGACTTATTTAACAACTGCACGGATGGCAAGAGAGGGCAAGCGTTTGCTGTTTAACAGACACCCCCAGATCTCTTTCGGGGGACAATGGCGGAGGTCCCGCCCCCCCCCACCTGTCATCTCTTCCAGAGTTTGCTCTGAGATCAGACGCCTCAAGCCAGGATATTCTTTAGATCAGGGGTCCCCAACCTTGGCCACTTTAAGCCTTGTGGACTTCAACTCCCAGAATTCCTGAGCTAACATGACTGGAGGAGGAGGAATTCTGGGAGTTGAAGTCCACAAGTCCTAAAGCTGTCAAGCTTGAAGTCTCCTGTTCTATCTTATATGCAGCTCTATCATTCCCCTCTATTGGAGTGGTTTCCTGTATCACATTGCCCCTCCAGGTTTCCTCTCTATTGTTCCTGTGATGCATTTCCTGTTCTTGTATTACTCTAACACAAGGATCTTCAACCTTGGCCAGTTTAAGACTTGTGGACTTCAACTCCCAGAATTCCTGAGCTAACATGACTGGAGGAGGAGGAATCCTGGGAGTTGAAGTCCACAGGTCTTAAAGTGGCCAAGGTTCGGGACCTCTGCTCTAGCTGAAGAAGGATGGGATTGGAAATCCAGAGTATCTAGGGCAGGGGTCTCCAACCTTGGCAACTTTAAGCCAGGAGGACTTCAGCTCCCAGAATTCCCCTTTCAGCTTTGCTGGATCTCAGAAAGTTAAGATGGGTGGACTTCAGTTCCCACAATTCCTCATGGATGGACTTCCAACTCCCACAATTCCCTGTTCAACTCTTCAGCTTTGCTGGCTGGGGAATTCTGGGAGTTGAAGTCCACAAGTCTTAAAAGTGGGCCAGGTTTGGAGACCTTTACCTTAGATTAGCGCTCCGCAACCTGTCCAGTTCGGCTGATGGGCAGTGGGGGTGATATGGGGGGGAGGAGAGGGTCCCCCAATGGGCCGAGCCACAGACTGAGGGTCGGGGGACCCATGGTTTAGATGCCAATGTGAAACAAACCGTGGTTTATTGCTTTGCTCTGTTCTGGAAATAAGCCATAATTTGTCACTTCTTTAACAAATCACAGCTAAGCCACAACTTAACCACAGCTTCCGGAAGATGTAGAGAACTGTCCTTCCCAACCAATTTTAGCCTTCCAGGCTCAAAAGAGTCCCAACAGTTGCAGCCCCGGACCTGTTGCAGGCGAGAGGATGGAAAAGGTTTTAGTGGTTGAGGCATCAGGCTAGAAACCAAGAGGCTGGGAGTTCTAGTCCCGCCTTAGCCATGAAGGCCCTCTGGGTGACTTTGGGCCACTCACCAGGAGTCAATGAGTTCTAGTTTTGCCTTAGCCACGAAAGCCGGCTGGGCATTTGGGGGCCAGTCCTTCCATCTCTCCCCCTCTCTATTCCTCAGCCCAACCCACCTCACAGGGTTGTTGTGGGAGATGTAGGACGAAGGAGAATTATTTCACTGCCTTAAGTGATGTATAAAAACAATAAAGGCGGGAACAAAATAAATTATTTTGGGAAAATAAACAAGCAACCCCAAATGCTTTTTTTGAGCAAAAGCCCTGCTAGCGGGTGGGGAACATAACGTCCCCACAAGGGAAAAGTTGGCTCAACTCCCAACCCCAACCAGAGTGGAACCCCCGATGTCCCCCCTGCCCGGCCAGTCTGCAGCCCACCTGGGCCCACCTGTCCTCCTCCTGCTTTTCAGATCATCAAGGAGATCAGCAACCTCTTCCCTTTCTTCAAAGAAGGCTACCAGGGCTGGAAGGACTCCATCAGGCACAACCTCTCGGCCAACGACTGCTTCCAGAAGGTGAGAGGACCTGGCTGAGGCTGCCTCCTTCCCCCTTCCCTTAATTCACTGTGTGAGGCCATACCACTCCCCACCTGCCAGGCAAGGCCCGTCTCTGCCTCCTGCCTTCTGGATGCCCACCGAGTAGCTTTCTTGGAAGAGTCCACTTTTGATGGCGTGCCCCCTTCCCAGGCCCAGGCCTTGAGACCCTGGACTATCCCAGGCACCCTGGACAATCAGAAACTGCACCCTCCAAGAGACGGGCCTGGGTCAACCACAGAGCCGAGCTTGGAGAGGAGGTACAGGATAGGATTGAGCTGGGTTGTCAAGGTGAAGACGAACAGGAATCGACTCCATACAACACAACCCAGTGGAACATCTCTAGAAGAGAACAGTTGTCACTCAGTGTTGAAACAAGGGGTCCCTGGTGCTCTCTGAGCTTGGTAGTTTTCTTCCAGATGTTTCATGACCCAACTAGATAACATCATCAGTGCTAGAAGGGAGTGGGGTGTGTGGAGAGGAGGAGGAGGAGGAGGGCTGTGGGGTCCTTGGGGCTCTCTGGGCTTGGTGGTTTTCTTACAGACTGTTGAGGTATTCCCCGTTAGGAGAATGAGTGCACTCAGGGAAACGTAGTGAGAGTGATGTTGAATAACACACGACCAGCATACACTGAATAGTAAAATGTAGGTTTTACTTCCAGTAAACGGGTAAACAAAGTCCAATAAACAGTCCAAATCATACACGGTTAAAGCAGTTAGTATCAGTCCAGGGATAAACTAAAAACGAAGTCAAGTATTATAAACAAAGTTCAGTAAATGGAGTTTGCTAACAGTTGCAAAGACTCACAGCAATCCAAGCAGAATGCCGATCAGGCAAAACGGCAAAACAGGAAATGCAAGGAGAAAGAAACCAGGTTTTTGGCTCCATCTTATGGCCGTTGGAGGAACCTCAGCCAATTACAATTACAGCATTCTCTTAAAGATACAGTATTAAATTACTATCCTGGTTTATATATTTCCAACCCAACTGTTAGGTGACTATCATTCCTAACATTCTCCCCTTTGGGTAGGACAATATTTAACCTTACAATTTAAGTTCATATTTCTCACAGCAAGCGTATGTTTTACAGTGCCTTGGGCTTTCGTAAAATGATCTGCAATGTTATTTTCTGACATGTAGTACTCCCGTTTAATCATTTTACTTTGAACACATTGTCTCACATTTAGATATCTTAGATCGGTGTGTTTTGATCTTGTCTTTACAGCAAGATTGGAAGCCATCTGAATTGCTGATTGGTTGTCTTCATACACAACAATAGGTTCCTTTACATTAATTCCCACATCTATCATTAGTTGTTTATAACAAACTAAATACGAACATAATAGAGGCAAAGATGAGGATTCAGCCTCCGTTGTTGATAAGCTTAGATATTTTTGTCGAATAGACCTCCATCCAATTAACACCTTTCCTAATAATACGACAGTACCTGACGTTGATTTACATGTAGATACGTCTGTAGCGAAACTTGCATCGGTATATGCAGTTAAACTTAGTTCATCCTTAGGCTCCAAATATAATGCATAATACATTGTTTGTTTAAGATATCTCAACACATGCTTAGCAGCTTGCCAGTGCCTTTCAGTAGGCTTAGTATTAAACCTGGCTAATTGGTTAACACCATATGCTATGTCTGGCCTTGACCAATTACTAAGATAAGATAAGCTACCAATTAAAGTTTAATAAATATCTTTATCAAAAACAGGACTTTGCACATCACTGTGGATAAACTCCTGGCTCATCGGTGTTTTAGCCAGTTTACAAAGTTCCATTTTAAAATTCTTTAGTAACTGGTTAATTTTATCTGCCTGTGAGATTTTGTAGCCTCCTTTAGTTTTATCTATTTTTAAACCAAGATATTGTTTAATCTCACCTAAATGTTTTATTTTAAATTTCTTCTTTAACAGTGAAATAATCTCAGTAGCTTCTTACTCAGTCTTAGTGATTAATGCTATGTCATCAGTGAACAATAGCAACAATGAAACTACACCACCACTTTCCTTTTTGAATAAACATGGATCAGCCATGCCAGCTACAAAACCTATCTTTGTTAATTCCTTCACTATGCACTGGTTCCATTCATAGCCTGATTGCTTTAAGCCATAAAGACTCTTTTTTAATCTCCAGCAATCAGTTTTATTATCAGTTTTTATACCCAAAGGCTTCTTTAAATATATAGTATGTTGCAACGGTGCATGAAGATATGCCGTCTCCACATCTAAATGGTTTATTGTGTGTTTATTTTTAGCTGCCCACACTAATGCTGCTCGTAATGTGATAGCCTTTAGACTAGGTGCAAACACCTCATCATAGTTGTTGGCAGACTGATTGAACCCTTGTGCTACTAAGCTGGCTTTATGGGTAACAGTCCCATCTACACCTGTCTTAATTTTATAAATCCACTTACACCCTATGGAAGGGATGGGCAAACTTTTTGGCTCGGGGGCCTCATTGACTTTTAAAATTTGACAGACGGGCCGGGTCAGCACAAGATACGATACATATGAAAAACTGCATTTGTTAACAGTACATATCAAACATAAACAGAAAAAAGGTCCTTTTTTTCTTATAGGTCCTATAAGAATGTCAAGCAGGCCTTTGCTCTAGGGTACTTTCCAAGGGTGCCTAACTTTATCCCATTATCCCAAACTCTTCTTGCTGGGGATCATGGGCATTGTAGTTGAGATGCTTTGAAAATGCAGAAACCGCAAAATCCACCCCCTGTCAGTCAGTCAGACCCTACCTTGAACAGCGATCAAGAGAGGTTTTCCCCCGAGTAGGCACCCCTGGCATAAACCCCATGCATTTTCACGGTTAGCATGGTCAAGCGGACGCTCTCGCAAAACTGTTCGTGGCTGGAAACGGAGCCCAGTCCACGAAGGGTGGGAATTGTGGAAATCCGAGCGCAATTCTCTCCAACGGTCCGGATTGATAGCGAAAGATTCTTTACGGAAGGGACAAAATGAACGTGCGGAGAACAGAGGTCCTAGCGGCATATGACATCATCGGAACTGTCACTATACACACATAAACATGTACATGAGAAATAATTAATGGTACTTTGGGGAGCTGGGTACCCCCAGATCTCCTCCCGAGCAGCCCTGCAAACACGCTCCCCAGCCAGCCACGGCAAGACCATTCCCCACCCCCCAACCCCCCACTCCCTTTGGCGTAAATAAAGGCAAGAGGTCGGTCGTCAGCCCGGGAGAACCGAGTAATACACCTCCCCTTGCAAAAACGGGGAGACCCAAAACACACACGCGAGCCCCGGACGTCAGATACCACCGCACCGGTCCTGGATACGGGAGAAATCTGCCCAGCAAGCGCTGAAGCTGCCGCCCACCGCCCCGGGCTCGATGCTCTCCAAGGATGGAGAGGCGGCACGCATCCGAGCCCGGACCCCCCAACTTTGCCAGCATGGAAGGCAGGCAGCCAGCAAGGCAGGCAGACCCCATGAGGCTCCCAAGCCTGCCGCCCCATCTGTCTGTCAGTCCGTCCCCGCCCGTAGTCACCCATGCCTGCCCGCTGCTCCGCGGTTGCCAGGGGGTTCCCCCGTCGCCTTGGGCATGCACCGGCTCCTCAAAGGGCAGCTGGTGAGTCTCTCTCCCTTCGGCCAGCAGGTGGACTGTCCTCCGTTCCCCTCTGCTGTTGGCCACCCCACTCAGCCGCCAAGCTGTCGTCCGGCCCGGATCTGTTGTTTCCCGGGTCCTGCTTGGGTGCTCCAACCGGGTGCCCCAATCTTTGGTGGGCCGGATTAAAAAGACCAATGGGCCGGATGTGGCCCATGGGCCGTGGTTTGCCCACCCCTGCTCTAGAAAAAGTGCAGAGAAGAGCGACCAGGATGATTGGAGGCTAAAACGTACGATGAACAGTTGCAGCAACTGGGCCTCGCTAATCTAGAGAAGAGAAGGACCAGGGGAGACAGGAGAGCAGCCTTCCAATATTTGAGGGGCTGCCCCAGAGATGAGGAAGGGGGTCAAGCTATTCTCCAAGGCACCTTTGAAGGCCGGACAAGGAACAATGGATTGAAACTGATCAAGGAGAGATTCAACCTGGAAATAAGGAGAAACTTTCTGACAGGGAGAACCATCAACCGATGGAACAGAAGTTGCCTTCAGAAGTTGTGGGAGCTTCATCCCTGGAAGGTTTCAAGGAGAGACTGGACTCCCATCTGTCAGAAATGGTGTAGGGTCTCCCGCGTGGGTGGGAGGTTGGACTAGACGACCTACAAGGTCCCTTCCAACTCCAATTATCTGTATCTGTATCTGGTTTGTGGTCAGTCTCCAGGCAGAAATGCTTTCCTAGGAGGAAATCCCGAAATCTTTCACATGCCCAGGCTAGAGCCAGGCCTTCTTTTTCTACCTGTGCATAGCGTTGTTCAGTTGGAGTGAGTGAACGTGACACATAAGCCACAGGCTTCCATTTATCTCCCCACTCTTGAAGAAGAGCGGCACCCAAGCCATATGACGATGCATCCGCTGACACTTTCGTCACTTTGTTCGGATCATACATGGCCAGCACCGGAGGAGAAGACAAAGCATCTTTCAATGTCTTAAATGCCCTGACCTGTTCCACATCCCAAACCCAACAGTTTTTCTTAGAAAGGAGATCACGAAGTGGCTTGTCTTTTTCTACCAACTTCCCCAACTGGCTTACCATGCCAAGAAAACTCCTCAGTTCGTTCACACTAGAAGGTTCCTTAATAGCTCTGATAGCCTCTGTTTTCCTTGGGTCAGGTCGTATCCCTGCAGATGACGTGACCCCAAAAGACCACCTCACTCCTGGAGAGTTCACACTTATCCACGTTCAGAGTGATTCCTGCCTTTTCCAGTTTTTTTAGCACTGTATGGAGTCGATTGTCATGTTCTTCTTGGTCCCGTCCCCACACCAGTAGATCATCAATGTGGCAAACTATACCTTCCAGCCCCTGTGTAACTTCTGCCATCATACATTGGAAATGTTCAGGCGCTGAGGCAATGCCAAATGGAAGATGGTTAAAAGTGGAACCGCCCAAAGGGTATAATGAATATGGTATACTTTTATTGCAGTCGACCCTTCCATTTACGAGAGTCCAGAATTTCTTTAACTTCAAAATGTTGTTCACCCTCAATCAGCAGTGGTACAGGAGGATCAGTTTGGGTTGGCCTCAGATTGGAAGTATGTTCAGGTTTTAACAAACTAACATGGAAGACCAGGTGAATACGTCGAAGAGTTTTTGGTAATTTCAATTGGACTGCCACGGGGTTTACAATCCTTTCAATCAAGAAAGAACCAACATACTTAGGACCAAGTTTCTTTGACTTTTGAGTAGTTTGTAGATATCTGGTGGGCAAGAAAACCTTGTCGCCTACTTGATATGGTTTTTGGGGAGTTCTCTTTTTGTCTGCAAACTTCTTATGAGCTTGATGCACATCATCTAATGCTTTACGAGTGACTGGCCAATTAAGTTTGAGTTGTGTTATCCATTCATCTAATGATTGAATGTTAGGCCTTTCATGAGGAAGTTCAGGTATGGGTACAAAATCTTGTCTTGATGCCACCTTGATTCATGGGGTGAATCCAGTACTGCTATGTACAGAATTGTTAAAAGCCACTTCAGCAAATGGCAATAGGTCAGCCCAATTGTCTTGCTGATAATTTATGTAACATCTAAGATATTGCTCTGAATCCTCCTTGGGGTTTTCAAAGAGAAAGGCACAGCATCGGGTTTTGAGCTTAATACAATAAGGTTGTCAAACCTCCCCTAGGCCGCTGCGTAACTTAGGGTAGCTTGACTTCAGGTTTCCCATGTCAATAGTGTCCACACGAACCAACAGACCAAGAGTTACAATAGCTGCTAGCAGTCCCAGCAAAGGCTTACTCAGGTTTTTGACCACATACACCTTCTCTGTAATTTGTTTTGCTCCTTTCTTTAGCCGTAGTTTGGCAAACCCCATCGCTTCCAGTGGCATTCTCCCTGGACCCAGTAGAGGTCTCTCTGCTTTTTTGCAGCACCGGCACTTGTGTGTTGTGAAAAATGTTGGCGAAATTCTTCTGTGAAACAACAGTGACGTCCGCTCCGGTATCCAACTTGAACGCGATGTCTTTATCCATCGTTCTGATTTCCACGGTCCACGGATCATCATGGGATGTCACAGAGCCGAGAAAAAAGCTTCTCTCCTCTTCCTCGCTTGCAAAACATACACGTTGATCGTGACCCTTTTCCCCACATGGATGGCATTTAGCATCCTCAGCAGGACATTCTTGTCGAGGGTGGAACGTGCCACCGCATTTGTGACACTGGGGGTCTTCAGCGTTTTTGTTCTGCCTGCTTTGAGGCTTCGCTCCATCGTTCTTTGATCTGCTGAATTTTGGCTTTTCTTTCTGATGCCTGCCTTTAAACAGTCTGTCCAAAGAGTTCACATCCTTTAGGTTTACAGCGCTAGCATCCCTTCTCAGTGTGGTTTGCTGTTTTTTAATCTCCTCTGATTGTCTTGCCATATGGATAGCTTTATCCAGGTCTGGGTCTTTTCCCATTGGCGTGCATTCTGATCGCCGTGTATCGACCAAGCCTACTACAATCCTGTCTCTGATGAGCTCGTCCTGTAGTGCTCCATAGTTACAGTGTTCTGCTAGTGCATGCAGCGCTGTGACAAATGCATCAACTGTCTCATGTGCTTCTTGTTCGCGCATATTAAATCTTGCACGCTCATACACAGTGTTCTTTTTTACTACAAAGAATGACTGAAAGCTGTCTCTTACTTTAGTACACCGACGCTGATCAGCTTCACCGAGCTTCAGGCCAGGCAGAACATCATCTGCTTCATCTCCCGTACAGTAAATCAAAGTGTTCACCTGATTTTCTTCGGAGTTTATTGCGAGGTTGCTTGCTTGCCTAAATCTCTCGAATCGCCGTATCCATTTTGTCCACACATTTGGTTTGGAGAAATCAAAGGGCTCTGGTGGTTGTGTGTTAAAAGTAGCGCTGGGTGTGCTAGCCAATCAACAGGTTCCATTTACCCTACTCCACACTCCCTTCTAGCACTGATGACGTTCCCTAGTTGGGTCATGAAACGTCTGCAAGAAAACCACCAAGCTCAGAGAGCACCAAGGACCCTCAGTCCTCCTCCTCCTCCTTCTCCTCACTTTCCTCCTCCTCTTTCTTTTCCTTCTCTTTCTCCTCCCTTCTAACCCTGATGACGTTCCCTAGTTGGGTCATGAAA